AAGCCTCAAAGTGCTGCTATTTAAACATTAGTGGCTCCAGGCAAGTCTTAACTGCTCCGGGTGTCTTCACCTACCCATACCTCAGCTGAAAGCATCACATGTGTGCCTGCTAAGTCGCTTCTGTCATGTCCAACTCTTTGTGACCCTATGGACTGTATCCTGCCAGGCTCTTCTGTCCATGGGATTCTCCAGGGAAGAATACTGGAGTGGGTTGCCCCTGACCTCCTCCTGAGGATCTTCCCATCTCAGGGATAGAACCCACATCTTGTATGTCTCCTGTATTTGTAGGCAGGTTCTCTTTCAATACCACCTGGAAGGCATTGCAGGAGGAGGTAAAACAGTGAAAAGGTGGATTGCCTTTAGATGATGTTGAATGATTCCATGAAATACAATGTAAGGAAATGGCCTGTAGTTCATGCTACATTAAAAAGGAATGATGTATTTAAGAGCCAGTCTTTCCAGAACACTTAAAATGTCAGTTAATTTAAAAAGTGAAGTGTACTACAGGTTTAGGGGGAAGCGTATATTCAGTTTTCAAAGCCCTTTAATCTTCTGGACTCAGTGGCTGTGTTTAAGGAAGTACAGTCCTGACAAAGCTGTCTGCCAAGTAGGCTATGGAGCCAGCCGCTTGAGTCATTTCTCGCCTGTTCACCAGATGCTTTCCTTGGCACACAGTATCCCTTGTGGAAAATGGCTGATCCTGCAGGTCCTTAAATAACCCTTCCCCTCAAGGCAAGCCCTGTTTCCACCCCTTCAGATGCTGGTTTTGTAGCCCATGGTTTATTTCAGTCTTTCATTTCCTTTAAGGTTCAGAATCAGAACCACAGCTGCCATGAAGAGCTCCTCTCCCAATTCAAACTGTGGTGATTTCCTAATCCTTAGATATACTGAATTTCCTTAATTGTATCTTCTACTTAAAAACACAGGGAGAGCAGAGCCTGATGGCTAAGATTTCAGGCTCTTTACGCAGCTTCTGGATTCAAATTCACTACTTACTGGCCAAGTTTCTTAATTTATCTCAGTTTCTTCATCTGAAAATGGGGATAATAATAAATTCCTCAAAGGTCAAATTAGCCCTATTTCTTTCTTTATTTTTGACTGTGCTGGGTCTTTGTTGATGCACAGGGTCTTTCTGTAGTTGCGGTGTGCAAGCGTTACTCTTCATTTTGGAGCATGGGCTTCTCATTGTGGTGACTTCTCTTGTGCAGCACAGGCTGGTAGAGTGCCGGATCAGTAGTTGTGATACATGGGCTTACCTGCCCTGCGGCATGTGAAATCTTCCCGGACTAGGGATCAAACCCATGTCCTCTAAATTATCATGTGGATTCTCATCCACTGTACCACCAGGGAAGTCCTAAGTGAATTCCTATAAAGGTACTTGGAATAACCCAAATGTTTATTAACAGACAAATGGACTGAGAAATGACATAGAAACATATAATGGGATATTTCCTACTGAGCCTTAAAAAAAGTGCAGTTCTAATGAAAACTTCAGTGTGGATCAACCTTGAACCATTACAATCAGTAAAATAAGCCTAACACAAAAGGACAAATATTGTATGAAATTCCTAGAACAGAAAAATACATAGAGACAGAAAGTAGAACAGAAGTTATCAGAGGCTGAAGGAAGGAAGGAAAGAGGAGTTATTATTTACTGGATACAGAGCCTTGATATGGGGTGATGAAAAAGTTCTGGAGATGGAAAGTGGTGATAGTTGCACAACAATATGAATGCATATAATGCCACTCAACTGTACGCTTAAAGTGGTGAAAATGGTGAGTTTTGTTATGTATATTATACCACAATAAAAATGGCTTTGAAGGAACAGAGTCTGATACATAGTAAAGTGTCTGGTTTATTTGTGGTATCTTTTGCATTATTGCCTAATGTTATTCTCTAACTTTTTGCCTTTAAATTCTTCGCTCAGTGTGATGCCTTCTCTCTAACTTCAGGGCATGGACCATGTCATACTTTGGTTTGTCCTTCAGTGTACCTGCCCATGTACCTTGCATATAGTTGGACTCTGTCAATCATTGACTGAATAGAGCAGATTCCAAATAACCTGTGTTAAAATAGTGTGATCCATGCTCTCACGCGAATGGAGTGGATCTCAGTGTTTTCTCTGTGGGAGGCTATTAGCCTGGTGACTAAGAGCTAGAATCTGGAGTCCATCCGACCTAGATTTGAGTTTCAGTTTTGCCATTTGTTAACTCTGTGCCTTTGGAAAGTAAATCAGTCTTCTCAGCTTCAGCTAATTGTGATGGGGCAAATAATATCTACTTTACCATATGTTCTGTGTTGATAAAAATGAAATAACATATGTTGAGAACATGGCCCGACCTGGGAACTCAATAATTAGCAGTTAATACAAACATTTCTTATCCTAAGCACTACTGCTACCTTAACTTATCACTCTGAGAGTCAATTTCTGAAACTGATCTTTCAATTAAAGCAAATGCCAATCCCTGGACTTTTGTGGGCATTTCTGCAATGAAGGACAATGTCTTAAAACCATAACCTCTCAGGAGGATTGTGGGACTTACTCTGCTTCCCAGCAGTCTCAGATGTACAAGGAAGATTCTAAAAGCTCAGCAGAGTGAGAAAAGAGCAGTAGCCCTTCTCAACTCACAAGTAGTTCCCTCTTAACCCAGACAAACACTTTTAGGTGTGAATGGTTGCTCAGAGCCCTTAGAGAAAGCAGTGCTGAGCAAATTTAGGGTCAAAAGTCTGGGTCTCTCTCCAAAGTGCAAAGTAGATTGAGAGGCAGGAGCAGTGGACTTATTGGCTCATTCAGCATTAAAGGGCAGTGAACGTGAACATGTAAAGACCAGGTACATTCAGAGGCTGAACTTGGTTAAAAAAAGTGGTGGCCACTGTGGATGATTTTGAAGGCATCCAAGAAAGGAAGCAGAGTGGGAGCCACAAAGATGAAGTCCTGAAAACTGAGGTTTTTCCTGTAGCAAGAACCAGATCTGGGCAGACTGGATCTTGTCCTCACTGAAATATTTTAGGGTGTTTATTCCAGAGTGAGCACTGAGACATTGTCTTAGCCCGGGGCAAAGACATGTGATCATATGTCAAGGTGAATGTTGGCAAACAAAGGAGAAACTCTTGGACTCAGTATTCCAGGAAGTCTAGAAATCTTGACCAACTAAAATTCAATCCTGTACTGGAATGTGGGTTCTAGATTTCACAACACCTGAAGTGATTTCAGAATACAAAGCAGAGAAAGAGAGCAAGCTGAGAAGGAAGGAAGGGAGCAAACACAATCAGGAGACTACACCTGAAGTGGAGCAGTTACGAAAGAAGACGGCCCAAGAACTAGAAGCATGTTCTTGCACAAAGCACTTATCACCTCATGGGCAGCCACTGTCAACATTCCTTTGACTGCCATGCACCTGATGGTAGAAAGCTACTCTGTGTATCAGTCACTGCCTCAAACAGGGACAAATTCTATTTTCCTGCCCATGAATATATTTGTAACTAATCTTCCAAATAACTTCACATTTCAGAGCTTCTATGTCTGAGTTATAAATTTTCTGTCAATCATTACCCATAACTTGAGAAATGTCTCTCTAATCTAACTTCAGGAGATGTTTATCTATGTCACTAAGGACTTGTCTGAAATTCTTATCAACAGTGAGGAAATACACAGGCACACACACATACACACAGATGCCAATAGACTGTACAGTATATAACTGTAAATATGAAAAAAAGTTCAGGAAAGAAGAATGGAAAGATATTCACCAAATTGTTTACAAGATTATATTCATTTTCACCTTCATTTTTGATACATATTTGTATTCCCCCACCCTAACTGCAGGAACCACTTCTCTATTCTAAGCAAAACATCTCTCTGTGAGCCAGAGGTGGGTAGATGTCTTTGTGGGATAAGCAGTGGCCATCTGTTACTGAAATTGTGGCCTTGAAGTCCATCGTGAGCAGTGAGCTCTTTAGAGAAAAAGTGTGATAACAATTCAGGTGATTCTGGGACTTCCTGGTGGTCCAGTGGTTAAGATTCTGTGCTTTCCCTGCAGGGGGCACTTCAATCCCTAGTAGAAGAACTAAGATCCCACTTGGCAAGAGGCACAGCCAAAAAATAAAAAATAAATAAAACCAAAAAAATTCAGGTGATTCTAAATTATATTTTAATTTCATACTAGAAATAATAAAATTGTAAGAGTTTCATAAACACATTCTTTCCCTTTTCAAGCAAATATTAAATTATTAAGGTAACTAATGTTTCATTCTCTTCTAATACATATGATTAACACTGGGAAAACTGTCAATTGAATTCAGCATCTATTCATCACTTACTATGTACAAGGCAGTTTGAAGGACTGCAAAATTGAACTGTAATCTAGTGGAAGAGAAAATGCAAGCACATAACAATATCACAGATCAGAATACAATAGATTTAGCAAAGGCAGTTATAATGCTGTAGAATGCTCATACTTTTTATATTTGAATCTTTTAGGGTCATTATGAGATTACAAATGTAAATATTTGGATGTTCTAAGCAGTCAAATATTTATCATTACATTAAAGAAATGCAATGAAAAAATTCATTGGAGCAATTAAGTTTTTCTCTGAGCAACATTTCTTTTATTCGATTTAATTTTCAGAGTTCAGTGTCTCAGGGTTTATGGTGATCATTTTGAGCCGCTATAAGAATTTTAACTAGTTCTTTGATTTGCTAACACTTTCTTTTCAGTGAATATGCTCAGATATACTATTTGCCTTTGGTTCTTTACCTCTGCACTTTTTTCTATGTGAAACTTATCCTACTAAGACATGCTTTAACCTCCATTTCATAATTTAAGGAAAAGCTGATGCCCTCCCCAGTGTTTCTGTCAAGTCCTGGGGTAAGACAGCCTGGGCTTGACACTGCCCATGTCACTCTGTCTTCCTGGGTGGTTACTGCACTTCTCCCAGCCTCTATTTAACAAGAGTTAAACCACACCTTGAGTGGTGTGATATTGTCCACATCACTTACTTGGTATTGGTTGAGTGGAGACTAGCAGTGGGGTGGTGGCTTCACTGCGGGAACTACAACAACGAAAGACACAGAGTCAACAGTTTCCGTCCCTACAAGTTCTTCAAGCCCCCACCTTACCCTACATGGCACCAGGCTGTGACCATTATCTTTTTTTTTCTTGACATCAACTTTTAAAAAAATCTTTATTGAGTTTGTTACAGTACTGTGCCAGGTGCTGTGTTGGGCTCTTGAGGACACAGTGGTGACAGACCCAGTCACTGGCCTTGCTGAGCTTCATCTGGGGAGTGCTTTCTGACCCCCACTGAATTCTGAACCCCAAGCCACTCATCACTCTCCGGATAGGCTCTCTGATTTTCTCTCTCTAGGTTTGTCCTTAGCTGGAACGTGCTTTCCTTCCCCATAGTCACCTGTTGAGTTATTCAAAAGGCCAGCCATAAGTCTTACTTCCTTCAAAATGGTTCTCAGATACCCCCAACTGGGATTAATTCATTTGTACTCCAAAGGCCATTTGTACTTCTGTTAGAAGTCATCATGGTACAGAGAAAAGACCATAAACTTTGAAGCTAAAAAACACTAGGTTCAAGACCTATTTTTGTCACTTACTAATGACACAAACTAGAGGAAAACACATAGCTCATCAAAGCCCATTTTTCCATCTGTAAAATGGAGATAATAATATCTAGCACAGAGATTAAATAATACCTATAGCAATAATATAATGGTACAAAAGTTGGTACATTTTTATGTCATATGTTTATAGAAATGACTGATTATTTTATCCCTTTAGAAGTGTTAAAGAGAAATACATTCTAACAGATAAAGTCTTTCACCTGACAATACTGCTTTACCTGTTTTTTTAGCTGAATTTCCTCTGACATATTTAATTCCTAATCTGAACCAGCCATTGCACATAATCTCATTTAGCCATCCTCAGTCCTGTGAAGTATACAACATCTCCCATATTTGATACCGTTTATTAGCAATCAGCATTTGTTTCCACCTTCTTCTCTGCTTTTGCTTGTGTTCAAGGGACTGGAAGCTCAGGAACTATAATTCTGAATGTAATTTAAATGCCTCAATAAGATACTCTCAAACTATTTGGGGAAGGGAGGGCAGATAGAATGCATTCTTCCAGACGAGGTATAAGCAGACATGCTGGCTTTAGCAAATATGAGTTTTTGCAGGTCTAGGCAGACTCTCTATTCTGCTAATAGTGCCCAGACTTGAGGCTACTTTCCCCAAAAGCTCCAGATAGAAGAAATTTGGAGAAGCACTCTTCTTGGCCCATTTTGTGTCCCATATCCATCCCTTGACAAGCTACTACTGCCAGGAAAAGAAGTCCTCTAAGAACATAGCAGCTTCTATTGAGATAATGTAACCACAGAAGATAGAGATATGATTCCCCAAAATAAGTGGAATAACACAGACAAGGCCACTGAGGAATCATCTTATCCCAAGTCTCCCCCAAATCACTCTTGTATGCAAGTAGTTTATTTAAAAAATAATCCCAAAGAGCAAGATTGAGGGTCTGAAAGAGTAAAACATGGAAGGAAAAAAATAACCTCCAAATTCCGTGATATATTATTGACTTAGCAACCATGCTGGGTAGCTGGTGTGCAATCCTGCCAGTGTGTATTATTATTTTGGCATGCTAACTTGACTGAGGGAAGAGACAGTTTCAAGTTTCTTACCATAACGGCTCTTCACAGATTGGGGAACCAATGTGAGGGTTCTCCCAGCTATTAATACCAACTGTATAACCCCAACTGCATAGTCAGAAACTAAAGAAATAACCACAGGGTAGCTCCAATAGATCCACTGAGCCCATCTGAGACAGGCAGAACTCCATTTCTAACCTGGCCTTCCCTATAATCCCTTTCAACGAGAGAATAATGAAGGGGCTGCAGGACCCTTGAGTCAGAACACAGAACCATAGTCCCAATATTCAGCAGTTCTTTAAAAGTCTGAGGATTCCCTTTTGTTAACCCTGATAAACAATCTTAGATCCCCTTTGGCTAGGATGATGAGAATGTTTATCATATATACTTACAGTAGCATTGCATTGTCTTTTCTTCAAGGGGATCCACCTCTCCTTCAATGAGTGAACTTTGGGTCTGTGAAATGACATATTTGGAAACTGGTGAGGGACTCTTTTCTGCTGAAGTGAAAGCCGGTGAAGGTTTCCTGTTCACCAGTTTTGGATTTTATTCTTTTATTTATTTTATTTATTTATAATTATTCTTTTTTACAAGTTAAATAACGTTCTGAGTGGTTCTCTACCTGACCTTCCCTCAGAGAATACCATGATTTATGAGTTATTGCTACCAATTCCTGCGGGGGATGGGATGGTGGTGGTTGTTAAGGCAGATTGAATCCTATAACAGATAGCCTAGCTGCCCATTATGGCTTATGTCATCTTTATTCTAAGTGCTGCCATTGGTCTCTGCCATTCCAGAATCCTATCAGCACCTTGATATTAGTGATCTCAATTCCTTTGCGATACCTTCTTCTGTCAACCCCATCCTAAATGGGATAGTTATCACCAAGTTTCTTAAATTAGTTGATGCCCCTTAGCAAGTATTCCTGATGGCTTTAGCGAAATAAGTGTCCTCTCTGTTTTCCCAGGGAAGATTGTCCAGTGCTAGCTTTTCTTGATCACACATAATAAATTTATTCTAATGTTTTTACCTCCTTGAATCTTTGAATTTTTCCTCGACACTATGTCAAGGCGGTTCCAGCATCCCCATCTCATTTATGTTAACAGTAGGCTCTTAGAGCACAAGCTTCAAAGAGTCGTCTTAGCACCATGTGAGATGGGATTCTTGTGTCCTTGCCAGAACAGTGAGCTCTAAGTCAAGGAGGAGTGCTCCCACGTCAATAAACTATACTCCACCAAGCTTTATATCCCCACCAACCACCACCATCCCTGATCCAGTATCCTCAAGATCCTCGTACACGTGTCCTTGTGAAATATTCATATTCACCAGGTCCTGAAATTTCTTTGGCATGTAGGCTACTTCCTTCCAAAATAGGAACTGTATTTCTGCCCTGGGACTATGCTGAGTTCTTACCATAGTTACCAGTCTGAAGGCAATGAGGGAAATAGGTCAAATCTTGAGGAAAAAAAGTATAACCTTGAGAGGAATCTGCCTGAGTTGTGACTTTTTCCAAGTGTCTCCAGACAAGGGAATGTTGATTTCATCTACCAAATTCAAGAACTAGTGGAGAGAGGGTTGGCACCAGTTGCCACTAAGGAAAGAAGTAATCTATCCCACTTACTGTAGATCTGTGAGAAGTTGGTTCTGCTCCACAGTACACTGGGGCATGGACATCTTATAATCCTGGTAAGATTTGTGCCATGTGGGAAGTTAAAAAAAAAGAATATAGGACTTCCTTGGTGGTCCAGTGGTTAAGAATCGTCCTGCCAATGCGGGAGACATGGGTTCAGTCCCTGGTCTAGGAAGATTCCACCTGCCATAAGGGCAACTAAGCCCACGTGCCACAACTCCTGAGCTCAGTGTCCTAGAGCCAGCGCTCCGCAACGAGAAGCCTGCACACCTCAACTAGAGAGTAGCCCTCGATTGCCGCAACTACAGAAAGCCCACACGGCAACTAAGACTCTGCACAGCCAAAACAAATAATATCATAAAATAAATTTAAGAAAAGACTCCATTAAAAAAGAGAATATAAGATCCTAACATAACAAAGTTAATATATATAATCAAGCTTATTAAATACTGCACAAAAGAGAGGACACTAAACTGGTAGGACTAAAAATATACTTTGCAGTGCAGTTGATGCTGGTCGCACTATATTCAGACATGGTACAGCCTTAGGTCAGGACACAGAATCAAGGTAAAGACCCCGAGTAAGCAGAAGAGTTTGACTGCATTTTTTACATTTTGGTTAAAGACAGATTCTTGGACGTGTACCTTCAGTGCTTTTCACTGAAATTATATTCAAAGTTTCTTTGTCTCCGACACAGCACTTTTAGAAGCCATCCCTCTTAATAAGCCCTCTAATCTATATTAACTCCCAACCATGTGGGGGGAGGCAATGTGATTGTGGATGTCTAGGTAAACAGGTGAGCAGCCATGAATAAAATTTAGTGAATTTAGAAATCTGTGTATATGGTAATTTGCTTGAAGTCATTTAAAATCTAGCTTAAAGAAGAATTTGTATACACCATTTGTATTTTAACTGAAAGCATTCAGGCCCGAGGAATTTGCTGAATTTGCCTGAAAACATTCTCCTCAATATTTAGTTGTATTGCAAGCAATTTAAGAAAAGCTTTTTGGACTTACTGTTTGAGGAAAATTTATGCCCTCCACAGAAAAAAAATTCAGTATTGTGATACTATCTTAAGCCTTTCCCTGTTAGGAGGGAATCAACTCCCTACTGTGTGACACTGGGGTAGGGCTTACCCAGGTAATTCCATTTTTTACTTGGAGTAGGAATGGGATGAAATAAGCTTTAAGTTACTGAGTTTGTAACAAAGAGCAGAGCCAAGACAGTGCCTTGGACAAAGATGGGTTATGGTGAAGGTTTAGAACATTTACAGCCTAATAACCAACAAAGACCTATTGGATAGCACGTGAAACTCTGCTCAATGTTGTATGCCAGCCTGGATGGGAGGAGTGTTTGTGGGAGAGTGGATGCACGTGTATGTATGACTGAGTCCCTTCGCTGTTCACCTGAAACCGCCACGACATTGTCAATCAGCCATACCCCAGAAGAAAATAAAAAGTTTAAAGTTTGAAAAAAAAAAGAATCAAGGGAACATTTTGTCAGGCACTTCACATCCCATAGCACAGAAATTTAGAATTCTTGTACCTCACATGGTCTAAAGAATTTTGGAGCTCAGAGGGAATTAAAAGATCATCTTGATCAATATCTTCACCTGTCAGACAAGTAAACAAGGCCAGAGAGATTAAACGAACTGGATAAAATCACAAACAGGTTTAGCTGTAGGGTTAGAATTATAACCTAGGTCTCCTTACTCCTGGTCCTTTGTTCTGCTATACCTCGTCGACTTTAATGATATAATGTCCAGTTATTTTATCAGCACAAGGAAGTTTATTTGGGAATTGAAAGAGGAATTGCAATTTGGGATATGAGAACTATGGCCAGATCATAGCAAATCCAGAGAACAAGGAAGGGAAGCTTGCTTTTACAGGGAAAAGGGAGAAGCTGGGAAAGACTATATAACCAGGGTCCACTACAGGAAACTGGGAGTAAAAAGTTAGACGCTTCTGATTCGTTGGCCTGCTATAGTCTATGATTAACTGGGCTGTTGTTGGGCAGAGAGAAGTTTTCTTCTTCCTGCTGGGTAGTAAAGTAGGCAACATTTTCCTGTCAGAGATGTAAATGTACATCTCTTCTGGATTGGAGTAATTTATGATGGCTGAGCATGAGAGTTAACTCTGCAGGCCTATCCCAACTCTAATTTTAGCTGAAATTTCTTTAATTAATTCTACATTCCCTCCTTTTGGTCAAGATCTTTCCTCTAAGGACTGCGGATCAAATCAGGACCTCCACAGGTACTGATTTGTCCCCTTGGTGCCAGGAGGGACCTTGTCTGTTTGTCATGTCCCATATCAAAGAGAAAGTACACAAATCAGAAACCGTATGAAGCTGGAAAATAGTAGGGAAAACTCTCATGCATTTTTTGGTTAAAAGTCCATTTTAAGTCAAGGTTGTTAAGTGGGAGAAATTATCTCAAAGCAATGAGCTAGCACCTTCTTATATTAGGCAAGTCATTTTTATAAAGGCCTGACAAGCAATAAATACAGAACTTAACAATTCTGCTCTTAACAAGAGCAGAATTTAAAACCACATAATAAACCCAGTTTGCAAGATGGTTCTATACCAGGAACCCAGACCTGAAGATAGCCAGGTGAATAAACTAAAAGACAGAGGGTTGTCTGGTAAAAGTTGCTGTGACCAGTGTGTTTGCTGGTCACAAGAGAGCCTCAGTTTTATGTAATTGAGTCTCTCCTACTTCAGAGACTTTTATCCAAGCACAGCAAGAGGTGTTTGCTATTGCATGGATCCCTCCTTGCTCAGCAGATGGGAAATCAAGGACTATGTGATTATCCAAAACCACGTTGGCCAGGGATTTAAGTGACCATTGCTGAGCTAAAACTCTGTCTACAGAATCAACTAACTTTCTAATGTCAGGACAGGCTCCTGACCATTTGTTTATTTGCACTCCAAAGCTCTCCCTAGAGAGGCAAAGCCAGAATTACATACACCTCCCAGAAGTTCTCACTTAAGGCAGTTACAGAAGCTCAATTGGACAGATCAATGAGAGGCTTCTGTTCAGTTATGTAGGGAGAATAGGACAGTGAATACAACAAAGGCACCCTAACCTTGTATTCTCTAGCTACCAAGGCAATGGATTGCTCAAGCATAGAGGCCATTTCTCAAAGTTCCATATATGAAAATAAAACCAGCTGGTGTACTTAAGGTACCCACACAAGAGATAGTACCTATGGATCTATTCGTTGGTATAGAGAGACATTAGCATTAATTAACAAAGCCTTAGACATTATATTGTTACATGCTGAGAGGTTACCTATGTGTATAAAAATTCAACAAATTTATAAATAATCCAACTTGCATTTACAGCTCTGGAGAAACTTCCATATAAATATTCAAAAGATCTTGTTTACCCATTCTAGAACTGGGTCCAGTTGAAGCAAGGAATAAATTTAGGCAGTCACTGACTCTATAAAATGGACCCACAGAACAATCTGGGCAGACAACAGCCTCTGGAACCTCAGTGAAATTACTTCTAGGATGAACCAAAGGGTCATTGCAATCTTGGACAGCCTGAGCCAAAGGGTCATTGCTATCTTGGATAGACTGAAGTTTTCAATGGCAGATTCAGCAATTGGAGAGCTTTCCTTCTTTTGTGAGGAATTGGACCAAATATGGACCAAGGCATTGTCCTTCCATGGAAGAATGAGAAAATTACCTTATTTCTCTCAGTACTGAAAGAAAAGGATACTGCCCTGGCACAGACATCTTGGGAAAGCTACTAGCCTCAGATGTCTTCTGCATCAGACCCTAGTGAGCTTTATCTTCAGGTTGCCATACAATATGTAGGTCCAGTTTGGGGTTTGGTGCCTCCTTAGGTTAAAGCATGTGCAAACGCTAGGAGTCTACCCCCTGGCCTTTGGTGTCACAGGGGTTAGTTAATGGGAGCTGATAGTTGCCCTTCAGGCTGGAGGGAGCCCTTTTGGAGGTGTCTTTTCCAGTACACTAAATCTCTGGGTTGTAGTGTGTGATGTCTGGGGTCTTTGTCTTCTGAGTGCATAATGATAAAGAGTGCTCTACCAGAACAAGGCTGTT